GAATGTGGAAATGCTACCACTGGCTCAGGGCTGTAAATGGGAAATGAACACCGCCTCAATGGCTATTTCAGCCACAGGACGCTTGTATTTTTTGTTGTTGTAAACGCCAATTACTATCGTATCCCCGCCTGCCTCACGTCACACGGTGGTACACAGCAGCAGCAAATATACACTGTCTTGGCAACGTTCACTCCAAGGAAACCATATCCGCGAAATGTGTATTGCAACCTTAGCTGTGCGCACGTGTATAAAAAAAAAAAGTGTAGAGATATAATTTCAAAAAATTTAAATCAAGTAACGTCATAAAGTTGTCATGACTAAACATTATTAACGTCGTACACACTGTGTATGTTTACAATTTTCACATCTTAAGTGCTGATTTATGCAGTGTACTACATACTGGAATTTGCAGAACGACAGTAAATTAATCCGTTTGTTTAACCTGAAACGCCTCTCAACAGGAACTCGATGCAGTCTTTATAATAAAAAAAACACACAAACACAAGTATTCCTCTTTTGCAATCAGATATGGGGAGACTAAAATAGCATTCTGCCAGTTCCACTGACATCTCAGACCGATCTCGGACTGGATATCCCACAGAATGCGACGTAAAATCAGCGATGAATCCGCTCGAGACAATGATCCTGGACAGGGGCCCGAAGGCCAACTCCCGAGTTCATGCTCAAATCCTGGGTCGGGAAAATTCGCTTCAAGTGGATGGATCAGCAATTCACCAATATTAACTATGTTACACTATTTGTCTTTATTTATTTATTTTAAGATTGTATCTTATCGCTATTTTATATTCTATATTTTAGTCAATTTTATATACTTTAGCCCCTTGGTGTTAGTTAGACTTTGAACCCTTATTATAATAAGACTTGTTTACCACTTATTTAAGATTTTAGATTTCTATTTGTTGAATGTATGCACCATCCTGCCAAAGTAAATTCCGTGTCTGCGTGAACTTTCATGGCGAATAAAACCCTTTCTGATTCTGATTTGCGGTGGCGGTTGGTATTAACACGGCCGATTTGTTGTTCGTGAGTAAAGTTTTCTGTCTATCTTTTAAATATCAAATTTGTTTCATTTTATTTTACCAGGTGAGGCCCACTGAGCCATGTGGCTCTTTTTCGGAAGCGACCTGGCCATCACAAACGATAGCTCAACAAAAAGTGGCTTCTCACTGTGTGGAAATTTACACCAGCGAATAGCTCTAAACGCACGTTGTTTCTAAACGTGGAGGGGAAAAACCGGAGGACCCGGAGAAAAATCCACGCAAGCAGGGGGGAGAAAGACACCGCAAACTCCAAATATACAGCAACAGGCGTCAAGGGTCGGGATCGAACCCACGACCTCCTGTGTACCGGGCGAGGGAGTTAACATATTGCCACAAGGTTCGACGGTGAAAGGTGCGTGCCAATGGATGGCAGAGAGACACCCCTGTGATCATGAGGGTAACGCCTGGCAACAACACGGAGGCCCCACTAGATGCCCCTGTAAACAATCCCTCTGGAGAAAATGAAACAATGACTTAAAATCCACCCATCTTCATCTCGAAGGATATAGCACGACATTAAAGAGCAGTGATTTATAATCACAAAGTAACGCATCTTACCCAAGCTGATGTGGATTAGAAACATCGCTAGATCCTATTATCCATGTTGTCTGCAAATTTGCTCGATACATCCATGATATAATCTCAGGATAATTGCAGATAATAGGGACTCGGATAATAGGAGTTTTCACGTATCCTACAGGCTCTGGTGATAATGGAGTTATGGGCAATAGGCTCATGGGTAAGAGGACTTGTACTGCATTAAACTAAAATCTGAAAAAATGCAATGGTTATTCTATCGGAGAGCCCGTTGATGTTTTTCGAAGCTTCTCGAGAATTCTCTAAAATTCCATTGGTACAAAAAAACGAGGTGCGTTTTACAGTGTCTTCGACAAGTTCATAAACTGTGGGATTCATACAGAGCAGACTCTCTTGCGAGGAAAGATCACGACTGGCACCAGTCGGGAACCTGTAAATTATCCTCTTTGCGCAGGAATTTTAGAATACACAATTAAGGTTTTACATTTGACTTTTGCCGCAGCAAAAGATGTGGATTTCTAACCGTTAATTTGACCTGTTTAACCCAATAAGACGCATTATTATCACAATCTACGTAACTTTCTGCTGAATGTCCATTAGCTAACCGGTGCCTCATTTTCAGAAATCAAATATTTCATTAAAACAGAAAGCCTTAAGTTCACGAGTGGATGCAAAAGTGTCACCACTTGTTCGCCACGTTACGTTGTACACGTGATGCCTCCTTTCACTGCAGTGAAATTGTACTCACGGTAAGTGGGCAACAAAACGTGGAAATAATAATACTGTATATATTATTTGATGAGGCTAGTTGTAATTACTGGCGAAACGTCGTACTCAGATTGTAAATGTTGGGGCTTTGCTCTCCAACACACCGGTGTGCTGTACTAGTATACTACACTACACTATACACTACACTATACACTACACTATACACTACACTATACACTACTATACACTACACTATACACTACTATACACTACACTATACACTACACTATACACTACACTATACACTACTATACACTACACTATACACTACTATTCACTACACTATACACTACACTATACACTAGTGCTGTACTAGTGACGAATTGCCACGTTCTGTTTACGTGACAAACCTTACTAGTTGGCTGTGTCGGGTGGTGGTGGGTTTAACGACACATTTATATATTTACGTGATCTAACCCAAAAAAACCTGTATTATGGATCGTATATTGTTTCCCAAACTATTTAAATTCATAGTCAGGGACGAAAAAGGGAATAAATAACATATACATATTTGTATGTATAGCTGCAGAACAAAAACAAAAATATATGTGGACCATTACAACTTAAACTTTCGTTTATTGTTTAAGAACATTTCTTTGCTACGGCTTCAATGACAATGAAACTGAAAACCGATTGGTAGTTCACTAATGTTATAATATCCTCATGTTTAAACACGTAATTTATTAAAATAATTTTGTCTGTTTGACGAATCCGTACATTGAAGAGGTAAAATGATGAATGGGGTACTCGGTGTTCTGCCCAAGTGAAGGCGTTGTCAAAACATCCCCCATGGAAAAAAGATGGGCAGCGCTTAACCGCATCAGCACAAACCACGGAAGATAGAGGCACTTGATGCACACAAGTGGAGACAAGACTCTCTCTCTCCTGTCTATGTGCCACTGTGAATACGAACACTAAACCAAGGCCAACAGACCTTCGCACTGCAACACAAATATACATTTGAAGGTGGTGAGTCGGTCGGTGGGTGAATGGGCGAGTGTATAGGTGGGTGAGTAAATTAGTGGGTGAGTGGACAAGTAGGTGAGTGACTGAATGGTTTGGTGTGGAGGTGGATGGGTGAGGGAGCACTCACCCATCCACCTATGAAGCTTCAGGTCTTCTCGGCCACGGTCATTCTCTCCCTTCTCTACACTTGCGAAACCTGGACCCCCCCTAATTGAACATCTTCGCCGGTTGGAAACATTTAGGCTGACCTGCCTACGATCCATCTTGGGTTTAACCAGGCTGGATTGTGTGAGGAGCTCACAAATCCTTGAAAGATGTGGACAAAGTCCCATCGGTGAGCTCCTCCGGCAGGAAAGGCCCGCATTCCCAGCCCCCGCATGCCTAAACAGCTTTTGTTCGGTTGGATCGAGGGGGCTAAACGGGCGCAGCACGGGCTAGAGAAGAGACTGACTGATATGGTACAGGAGGATGTGGAGCTGAGTGGACTTGCCGATGACTGGTACCAGCGGTGTCAAGATCGGCCTCTGTGGAGGAGGCTCGTGAAGGACGCGACTGGGCAGTTGGAGGAAGTCGCCCTCCAACAACAACGGAGGGGGGAGGAGCGACGCTCACAACAACGAGTGGAGCGCCGGGTGGCTAAAGCACAGCAAGTTGGCACAGTAGGGGGCACAGGTGGTGCATCAGCCAATCGTCTCAGTGAGGCGACCTGTGGCATCTCGGTCTGCCCCGTGACCTCCTGCCAGCGGGTGTTCGACACTTCACGTGGCCTCAAGGCGAACATAGCCTGGCACAAGCGTCGTGGTGACATCACCGCCACTTAGTGGCGAATGGCGGTTGTTGTTGTTGTGTAGATGATTGAGTAAGTGGGTGAGTGCATGAGTAAGCGTGCGTGTGTGTTACTATTCATGTGGGGGACGGTGGCTCAGCGGTTAAGGCTATGTGGGTGTGTGGGAGGGTGCGTGAGTGGGTGGACGGATCAGCAATTCACCAACCCTTATATTGAACAATTAAATGTCTAAATCACTTTGAAACGAATCTCCAATGGTCGCTCTTCATTTGGCCATCGGAAATAACACAATAGGACAGGTTCAATCATTCCACACCATCAACGGTAAGCGCAGAGTAATTCCTGGTCAGGCAATCGACGCTGCGTGTTAATTTAAGGAAGGCACACTTCTGGAAGTCACTTTAAAGTTGGTATTTCACTCATCTGACCCCAAAAACAAATCACTTACGAAGGCAAGAGGCCCCCACGTGAGATGGAACAACAACCACTCCGTCTCCAGCAGCACTTGCCACCAGCGCTTGCCAGCCCCCGTGGATTCCCCCCCGACCACCGTCCCACACAGTCGAGATTTGTTTTTTTCTTCCACGTGGACAACCACGGCACAGCACCAACGACAGATCGTTCGAAATTAAAACTTCTCCAGGGGCGCCGTAAAACGTTAAGTAGAAAAAGAGTGCGACTGGGGAGTGAAACGTCCGGTGCTTTGTTGGCAAAAAGATTAAAGCATCTGCAGCGTTTCCCCGGGACCGTGTCCCAAGCCGCCGGGGGTCCAGGGATCACACGTTGGGGAGATTTACAGCATTGCACGCCTCCGATTAGCGCGGCTGGCTACGTACGGTGAGAAAGGAGTCCAACATACATACATACAAGATGCTTCTCACCGTCTCGACCAGCGGCTTGGGGCCTTTCTTGATTCCACCTGCAGGAGGAGATAGAGACCTCGCATTAACACCACCAGGGGGGAGGAGGAAGAACGGCGATCGCGATCTTATCAGCGAGGTATCGTGGTTCATTTGTGGCGAGCACTGTGTGTATAACGAGCGCGGCGACGACTCACATCGGTGGAGAGTGGTATCTGAACCAGTGCTGGACTCCCCCACCACACACCACCGGCACCCACCCCTTCACTAACCTCCACTTAACGGCGCGGTGAAGTATGGTCAAAACAACCGCCACGGCTAACATTGCGCGTGGAGTGACCTTTGTGCAGCAGCGGATTGACAAAGGCTTGTACGTATTGTCACGTGGTAACAATAATTATATTTTTTTTTTAATCTGGAACGCGGCGCCACACAGCATTCGCTCACTCGGAGAGACGGAGAGGACGACTCGGAGGTGCGAGCAGGGACCACAGACACGCAAGGAAGGCAGCCACGCAATGAGCCATTGCCAACAACTGCCCAAGCTCTGCGGTCCTCTATATATATCTCTCTCAAGGTGTTATTGGCGAATTAATGAGTGTTTACATGTGGGAGGAAACGGGAGCACCTGGAAAAAGCCCGCGCGCGTGAGAAGGAAACAAATGGAGCCGGTGGATGGCACGTCTTTTTTGCTGCACGCGCACGGGAGGGCAGTTCCTCAACATTTGTGCGGTCCACCAACCCTCGCTGCCGCCACGGTGCTGAACCAGAGGCTTGTGTAGCGACCACCGCCCAGCTCAATCGCACCATCGGTCAAGGCAAGAGGCAATGATGAACCCTGGGTTAATCTCAAAGACAGCGCAGGAGAGTGGTATCCAGGATCTCAGCAGTAGCTGTCTCATGGCCCTGACAACGACCATTGGTTCTCCGCGCTTCTCAGCTCCCTGGGACGTCTCTTTTTCACCTTTAGAGAGTTTTCACAGCTCTCGCGACTTGCCTCGCACACTGCGAGGATGTATACTGAACGAAATTGAGATTTGAGCAGCAAATGCCACGGGTAATTATCTTGCATCGCTCAACGGTTAAGCCTCGCGCTCAGCTCCTCCCCCGCCAGCATCGCCTATCAAGCGCGCAAAGCCTCCCTCTCTTTGCCGCTGTTGTTACCATATCGCCGGTTCGCCCTCCGTGTGGTGGGACTGATTGTCACGATTTTGACGATCGCAACGTTTCGCCGCGTTATTATTATTATTCCATAGAACACGGACATCGCCGGGGGGGGGGGGGGGGGGGGGATGGTGCAGATTACGAGCACGTGTCCGTCTGGAGGCTCTTGGCCTCAACAGCGCTACCACTGTGTGGGGTGAACAATCGTGAGCAGCAGATTCACGGGGAAGGGGAACAAACAGCACTTGGCCCAACGCTGTGTTAAGACTACACGGGAGATCTTTGCACGACACCAGCGCACACCTTGCGATGGGATATGACAATGACGACGTTAACGCACACCCCCCCCCCCCTCCCCGACCCGATTGCCACGTTTGGCTACGTACGGTGCGAAAGAAGTTCGACACACACACATGCGAGAGGGAAGGGGGGGGGGGGAATGTAAGCAAATGAAACAGGAAATAAAGTAACGTAAGCGCGGTGGCTGGGTTCATCTTCTTATTTCCCCCCTCGGAGCAACGGTCGACAGGTGTTGACCACAAAGTCTCAGCGTCAGGAGTCCATGACGATGACTTTTTCTTAACACAAGAACACGAATTGTGCGGTGGCCCTCGGCGCACCAATTTGTGTCCACCGTTTTGTGCGGCATCTCATTTTACATTTACAGAGTGCCTTCGCTCGAGGCGTCTAACCAAAGGAAAGGAGCCGGAGACAAAATAAGAATGATTAAGGTGGTAAGCAGTGGGGGGGGGGGGGGGGGGGGGGGGGGGGGGAGAGGAGGAGAATGGGGAAACCAGAAATGAGGTGAGGCTTTAAGAGTCTCGCCTCGACTCGCTGCCTCATTTGTATTTGCTCCTCACATTTGAACTGCCCGATGTCACTTGCCCGATCACGTGTGTCCCGCCTCTTCTCGTCCGTGGTTCCGTCTCAAGCGATTGAGCCAATCCTCATCTCGTCCGTCTCGTCTGCAGTGATCTCATTTGTATTGTTTAACCTGTAGCGTCTACACAGTCGTGTCTCCTGTCTGCCCCCGTCGTTTACGCTGTCTCAATTTAGACTTTCTGTTTTGTCTCGTTCATTCTATTTAGCCCCGAAGGAAAGCGACTGCACGAGTTTAAAGCAATCGATTCCTCAGCGCGTGATTTGATTCATGCACTGCGAGGGGTAGAAGCAATGCCTTCTCAAATGCGCCCTCAGGTTTAACCCAGTTGTGCTCTGTGTGTCAAGTCGGGAGATAAAGAATCGATTTGTACTTCTCGCAGAGCAGTGCAACCATTCGTGCTAGAGACCGGCCCACGGCAGCGGATACCGCAGAGCTACTGCTGAAATCCCTTCACGTGACCTGGTCTACACGGTCAAAGGGAGATGTGATATTTAACGCTTCCAGCTGAGAAGCAATGTTAATGTGATGGATGGACGTAGGATATCAGCAGTGCCGGCTCAGCGCTCTGAACTCTGGCCCGCTGTGCCACCTCTCGAATCGATTTCAACAAATCAATGTAAGCAAGTATGGAAGTACGTGTGTGTTGAACTTCCTTCACATCGTCCGTAGCCAAACGTGCTAATTAGGGGTACGGGGGAAGAACAACAAACGAAACACAAAAAAAGCAGTGCTAAAGAAAGTAGTTTTCGATCTCTAGTGGCTTCCAAATATCGGAAGGAAGAGCATTCCAGACGGACCGCAGAAGCGCGTCTGAAAGTGCACGACGTTCGAAGGCCAGCAGCCAAAAGCCGCTGCTGCGAGGATGATCGGAGTTAGCGGTGATGATTCTTGCTCCGTGACGAGATCAGCAGTCATGCCTCATTCCATAGCCCAATGCTGAGCAATGCCTATAGGCCACACAACCAGGGCCTCTCCTGATCACTCCGTGGTTCGGGTAATCCCTCTCGGACCTCACGGCTGACAAAGGCCGTCTTTGGGCAGAGACACATTGGGCCCATAGGACGCAGAGCCAAAAGAATACTCATCAGAGCCATTGTGGAGAACATAAATAATAAATATATATAAGCAGACAATATGTCTCTTTCATGTTATCGGTCTCTCCGTGTAAGGAAAAAAAATGAAACTTTTTTTTTCTCGCACAACCCATCAGGCTCCCACGGCCATCTGGGAGTGCATCGTGTCAGCCGCGTTGATTTAGTACTGTTTGTACGGAATCACTGCAGAAGAGCGTGAGGCCGCTGGGGTTCTGTAATTTGTTATTTTCTACGTGGAGAGGCGGGTATACGAAGACGACGTATGTGTTTGCTTATCTACTTTGTTGCTTGCAAATGAGGGAAAGTCCATAGCACGGACCTCCAGGGATTGGTAGAAGATAATGCAGTACACGAGTTAATTAACAATGTGCGTTGTCCTTGCATTTTTTTAAACTTACGATTTAGATATTAAAAAAACGAGGTGTTTTCCCCACGTACCAACCTACTCAAGTGAGTTCAGTTATTTATAACGCTTGTCAAGATCACGTAGCAGTGCGGCAGTGCAGTAGTGCAGGCCCTTTTTTGTTTAACTGGCCGACGACGGGACAGGAATGTTACCGTTGCCATCTGTTGATACAAACGAAGCTCAGACCAAAACACACTTCTATCCACAAACGTGTCCTTAAAAACCAGCCCTTGGCAATTGCAAGCGAGCTTCAGGTCAAGCGATCATCCTAAAAGGTGGCTAAGCGCCCTCTAAACGTTTCCAGTTACGACCCTTTTGAATAAACGTGGGTGCGAAATTTTCTTCAAAGGCTGAGCGTTTGGACGTATTGGCGGTAAACCGGTGGTGCGCGATATGAAAAAAAAAGGACATTTTTAGCAACCATTCTTTATTTTCCCCGCGACTAACCGGGCGGTGGGGGTGCGTCAAAATCAGTTCTCGTGATGTCGAAGCAGTCGGAAGGCGAATGTCGGTTCAGATTTTGATTCCGGACTGTTTTACGAGGACCGGTGTGTTATGCTGCACCGGTGTACCGCCAGTTCCACTGCTGGATTATTTTTTTTTCCGCCTGAGGACGATCGCTTGTGTTGCGATCGAAACGTCGTGATGTATTATTTTTTATTTTATTTTTCTACCTACGTGACTTTACCGAAAGAACCAAAGAGCATAACAGAGGTTTTTTTTGGGGTTAGGTCGGGTGAATAAATATATAAATGTGTCGTTAAAACCCGCCACCACCCGACACAGCCAACTAGTAAGGGTTGTCACGTAAACAGAACGTGGCCAATTCGTCACTAGTGCAGCACGCCGGTGTGTTGGAGAGGCATGTTCTGTTTACGTGATAACCCTTACTAGTTGGCTGTGTCGGGTGGTGGCGGGTTTTAACGACACATTTATATATTTACGCGATCTGACCCAAACAAAAAAACTCTATTATGGATGATATTGGTCGCGAAAGCCAACGTGTTAAAGCTTCAAACACACAAAACTCAATGCATTTGTCAGCAACACTTTGTGTGGCCTTAAAAAGAAAAGTGTATACAACAGGTGACCTTTTTGGTCAATGGCCCTTTCTTCGTGAAACAAAGATGCGTGTCAACAACTAATTTGGTTAACTTTGAAACGTCACTTGGGCATTGCGCAATATTGTCAGCATCAATGGTGACGGCACAAATCATGTTCTAGGGGGGAATGGGAAGTGCGCGATTTTTTTAAATACTTTTTTTTTTTTTAAATCGCTAAATATTAAACTCTTTCTCCAAAACTGAATGCTTGGATATATTCCATCTGCGGTTCGAAAACGAGAATGGCGTTTCAACTTTAGAGGGTCGTTTGGACGATCGAATGATCTCCTTGCTTGCGAGCGCGACCTTCGCGTCTTCTCACGAAAGCGCTTCGTGGAGAAATAACAAAAAAAACATCACGGGAAACAAAAAAAACTCAAACGCCCGTAGTCAACAACACCGCAGGCCTTAACAGGCAAGGTTTTCAGGCAATTGTCCCATCTGTCACAGCACACGATATCCAGATGATAACCCGCTGCCTGGCCTAGAAAGCTCTCAATGGGTTAGCCCCACAATAATTGCAGGAACTGGTCCGTGTTGACTCTGCAACGAAGCCCCTGAGATCTTCGGGATCACCTTCTTCTAAGCACACCGAGGTCAAGGCTCTGTCCCTGGGGTGATGGGGCTTTTTGCCAGTGCAGCTCCCAGACCGTGGAACAACGCTTTGCCTTTTGGTGGTAAAGACAACCAGAGTCGTTATAGATATTTAAGTCTGTCTTGAAAACTCACCTCTGCAGACTGGCCTTCACCCGCTAAGTTCTGGCCGTTTATCCTGCAGGTTCTGTTTATTTCCTGCTTTCCAAACAAGCTGGCGCTTTGGGATCCACGAATGAAATGCGACTTACAAATGTGAATTATCGATACTGGCAACACATTTTCGCCAAATAATTAGTTTTACCCGTGTTGAAGTTCGTCATCGAAGGATTTGCCAAATGTGACTTCACAGGGAGACTTAAGTTCTCTGACTTGGGCAACATTGAATGTATTGGTGTGAGAAAATGTTCGTCTTAAAGTTACCACGGTGAAAACATGTTTGCATTCAAAAAGAATTACATGCTAAGCCCATAACTTAGCATTGGCTCATAATGCACACGAATCCACTGCAGGCAGTCCCCGCTCTAATCATACATTCACGATAAAGGTTTTGGCTTAGAGAGCGTAAATATGAATGTGTCGTTAACCCACTACCACCCGACACAGCCAATTAGTAAGGTTTGGCACGTGAACAAAACATGCCGATTAGCTATCACTTCAGCACATCGGTGTGATGGCGACTAGGACCAACAACATTTGCCAATTGAGCACGACGTTTATCTGGTGGTTAACAACAAGCTTCTTTAGGCGATTTGCCAGAATTGTGGTCGCGAAAGCCTACGTGTTCATTTGGTCCCGGCTTTTACGACGCAATGCATTTCCGGAAACACCGCCGTCATAAATCGGACCCCTATTTTCCCATAGACAGCAGAAACTGGAGAAACGTCACTTGCCCTATGTGTTCTTCCTTTTATCAGCCGTATTTAACAGGGTTTCATAGGTATACATCCAAAACAGCACTCGAGAATAACAAAAGCTCCACGCCAAGTCACATCGGAAACCAGACCGACTGGTCAAATACATTCGGAGTCGAGTCGGAGGATGCCCCGCAAATCGATCCATGCTTTGCGTCATACAGACGTCGCAAATGTGGACTGTCGTAAAGCGGAGACTGCCTGTATTTTATTTCACGCAAATCACGTGCGATGGATATTCAGACGGTAAATGTGTCACCCACAGGCGAACTGAGCAAACGAGACAGTGCAAGCGACACAGCACAAAACTAACAACTAAAACTAAACTTATTTTTTATTTTACCAGCTAAGGCCCGCTGAGCTATGTAGCTCCATTGCAGAAGGCCACAAATGATAGCTCGACAAAGTTTCTTATCACGTGGAAATGTATCGCGGCCAAATACTCTGAATGCACGAGCAGACTCCAAATATACAGCAGCAGGCGTGAGGGTCGAACCCACAACCTCCTGTATACCAGGCGAGGTAGTTAACATCTCTTAGCCACAGTGATGATGATGAGAGAGACACGCAAACTCCAAATATACAGCAGGCGTCACAGGGTCGAGATAGAACCCACAACCTCCTGTATACCAGGCGAGGTAGTTAACATCTCTTAGCCACAGTGATGATGATGAGAGAGACACGCAAACTCCAAATATACAGCAGGCGTCACAGGGTCGAGATAGAACCCACAACCTCCTGTATACCAGGCGAGGTAGTTAACATCTCTTAGCCACAGTGATGATGATGAGAGAGACACGCAAACTCCAAATATACAGCAGGCGTCACAGGGTCGAGATGGAACCCACAACCTCCTGTATACCAGGCGAGGTAGTTAACATCTCATAGCCACCGTGATGATGATGAGAGACACGCAAACTCCAAATATACAGCAGGCGTCACAGGGTCGAGATAGAACCCACAACCTCCTGTATACCAGGCGAGGTAGCTAACATCTCTTAGCCACCGTGATGATGAGAGAGAGAGAGACACGCACACTCCAAATATACAGCAGGCGTGAGGGTCGAACCCACAACCTCCTGTATACCAGGCAAGGTAGCTAACATCTCACCATCCTAACGAGACGGTAAAAACTAAATAAAACAGAAGCAATTCTTGAATTGAAACGCGACGCCAAAGCCTGACTATTTAATCAATGGCAGGAGAAAGCGAATCATTTCCCAACCAAACAAATACAATGTACGTTGCGAGGTGGAGAATGTTGATAAGGGGGTCGGGACATTGAGCCAGAGCCGTTGACATCCTGAGTTAGAATCTGGACTTGATCATAAACCGGGTTCTCCAGCGTAGTGTAGCAAGTTGGTGACTGTGCACCAAAAAAACATCATCATAGTCACAGTTGGTTTTGCACTCAATCTGGAACGAATAGCAGACATGAGAAATTTTAAAAAAGCGCTTTCACCGACGCGCGTTTTAATCTCATGGCAAGGTGTGTGGCGATGCAGGCCTTATACTGTGTCACGGATACACGTTTGCCACTTGACGTATGGGGTGTGCTGCTGCTCCGAAAGATTTTCCACGTCAATTCTTCACCTCACGACGCGATTCCCGTAGCACAATTGAGGTGAACCGAGGACAAAAACGGAAACGTGCAGCGTTACATTGCACCTCCGATGAGCACGGTTGGCTACACATGGTGCGAAAAAAAAAGTTCTACGAACGTGCATTGAGATTATCGAGATTATTCTGCTGCTATAAATGTCCACGTGATGCGCCACTTTGTTGAGTTTTCATTTGCGGTCAGGTGGCTTCTGAGAAATAAGTTAATACACTCAGTGGGCTTTACCTGGTAGGATGGGGATAGTTTCGTTGAAATGTGTTTACGTGGTTGGGTGATCTGTTTACCTTTGCTGTGCTTTGCACTCCTATCGTGTGTGTTGTACTGTTACTGTAACGTTCTTACCTGCCCCACACTGGACATCAGCGAATGAGAGCTTCATAGCTCATCAGATTCCTCCAGTGCAAATACAGATTCTTGATGCCGACATGCATTGCGCCGATCTGAATTAAAACGAAATCCCCGAACAAAAAACTGAACCGCGGTGAGCGACGCTCCGGGCTCCGGGCGTCGCGTGGCGCCGCTCGGAGTCAACCCGTTCACCTTCGGCGGAGGCCCCTGCGTCGGCGGTGCTGTCGAGGCAGGGTGCCGGGGCGCACAGAGGGGGCACCCGAGCGGGCAACGGGGGCGGCAGCGCTGACGACAACAGAACGGGGGCAGGGTGAGGCGTTAAAGAGGCGTCGCTCGACCGCACGCACGCACGCACGCGTCAAAGAGTGCGATGCGTTCGAAACTCGCCGGCTTCATCATTGGCACTGCTGCTTCATGGGGATGTAAATGTACTCGAGTCTCTGTCAGGCCAAGGGCTCTTTATTCGGGCAGGGTGTAAAGAGGAACCCAATAGACCGGCTGTTACAGATCGCTCCCCCACACCCCCCACAGTGCAATTACAAACGAGTCAATCTCTCTGCAACTCTCTCTCTCTCTCTAAGCTCTGCAGGGCCACTGCCGCTCAGCGCCTTGATCCTGCTGTTGATTTCACCGCTATTATGTGGCGATATTGACAAGGTGGCGAGTGGCTTTGAGTTGGCTCTTTTAACACTGCTGCCAAAGCAGCCCCTAGATAGGTGATTTGATTTATTTCTGACGAGAGGTTGCTATCTTGATTCCAATCCCTGCATATTCAATTTACTATCCTATTGGAGCAGAATGCGACACCTCCTATCTGTGGGTTTTTAAGCTTCAGCTAAGTCCCACGTGACTAACAAATGTCCGCGGCTTTTCATGTTTAAATCAAGAGACTTTTGAAGGATGACAGGGAATACAAAACGCGCGTATCACCTGAATGGCAGACAAGCTGTCACTTTGTAAGTTGCTCATGGCAAAGTGAATGCCGTCATTTCACCGTGCTATAATCAACTTATCAGTCGTGTACATTTTCAGCCATTTATCAGCCCACTGCAGAATCGTGGCGTTCCCACGCTTTTCGGTCATAGCGTTTGTTTGACCATACTCAGTGCAAGGTTGGTGATGCGAGTGGCCCAGGACCGGGTTCAAACATCACTCACCACCGACGTTAGCCGCTTGCCAGGGATTGAACTCGGGTCACCGGGCTTGTAGTGCCACCTCAGGCCCACTGAGCTACGTAGCTCTTTTTCAGAAGCGACCTGGCCACAAGTGATAACTCAACGAAGTGGCTTTATCAATGTGGGAATTTATAGCAGCCAAATACTCTTCATTCATGTTTGTAAATGTGGAGGGAAAAACCGGAGGACTCGGAGAAAAATCCTTGCAACTACAGGGAGATAGACATGACAATCCTAAATATAAATATTCTTTGGGTCTTTCGGTAAAGCCACGTAGATAGAAAAAAATGACAAAAATCGCAACACAAGCAATCGTCTTCAACCGGAAGTGGCTTTACCAAAAGACCCAAAGAATATGAATTCCTGCAGTCACGAAAGCTTTAAAGACTAAATATACAGTTTAACACGTAGGCTTTCGCGACCAATATTATAAAAAAGAGCTTTTTGGTTTTGATCAGGAGGATTTTTCCCCAGAACTCTGGCTGTCATCTGATGAGGCTGGTTGTAATTACCGGCGAAACGTCGTACTTAAATGTGTAAATGTTGTGGGTTTGCTCTCCAACACACCTGCGTGCTGAACTAGTAACGAATTGCCACGTTTGGTTTACGTGACAAACCTTACTAATTGGCTATGTCGGGTGGTGGCGAGTTTAACGACACATTTATATTTACGCGATCTAACCCAAAACCTTTCTATCATCAAAATATACAGGCGTCAGGATCGGGATCGGGATCGAACCCACGACCTTCTGTATACCAAGCGAGGTAGTTAACATCTCGCCACCGCGGCACCCCCCCCCCCTGCACCACCGCTCCACCCCATGTAAGCGGGCACCCCCTTTCTGTGACGTTAACGCCCCTACGATACCACCTTAGCCCCAGGACCACCTCGCACAACAAGTGTATACTTTGGAAAAAGAAAAAAAACAAGAGAATAACATTCCCAAAAACTGTACATGTGCAGCGTGCCACTCAGTGACAAGAGCAGCAATGTACGTTACGCACGCCAAGTGACCCAATTGCTTCCCTGCCTGCTTCTGGAAAGAACGACGCTGGCAATTAGGGGGCAAAGTATTTGTGCACGTCCCCACATTTTCTATTCGTGGATGAGTTTTCTTCTCGCCAACTGACTCGCACGGTAAACTGTGACCTCCTTGTAAACGGGGACGCTTATTTACGCTATTAGCAAAACATATAAATAGACACGGCAGGGTAAATGAGATGAACAATAGGAATAATTGCGCGTGCTGAGTCATCCCATGTGCAATCTGCCCTGCCCGCCGGGCTCCACCATGGGTGGAGAAAAAATGTTGGCCGAGGCAGGAATACCCGGAATGTTTGTCGCTGCCTGTTGCCTGATGAGGGTGGTTGTAGTCACGGTATTCGAATTGTAAACGTTGTGGGTTTACTCTCCAACACACCGGTGTGCTGAACTGGTAACACATTGGCACGCTTTGTTTACATGACAAACCTTACTTATTGGCTGTGTCGGGTGGTGGTGGGTTTTACGAGACATTTTATATTCACGCCACCTAACCCAAAATAACCTTTATTATGCTCTTTGGTTCTTTCGGTAAAGTCACGTAGGTAGAAAAATAAAATAAAAAATAAAAATAATACATCACGACGTTTCGATTGCAACACAAGCGATCGTCCTCAGGCGGAAAAATAAATAATCCAGCAGTAGAACTGCTGAACCAGGAAGAACACAGCGAGAGAGCTGCTACGACTAGAGGTTATAGATGTTGGCCAAGGGCAAGCAGGCGGGGTCCGAGCTGGAAAAGAGTCCCATCCCCGCACGCAAGCACGTCAGTTGTGTTAATGGGGGAGATTAGGGAGAGAAAGATTCGGGAGAGAGATTAGCATGCCAAAATAAATGAGCTTCCGTCGCCGCATAAGAGCTCCGTCGCCGCATATGAGTACCATATGGACAAACAAATGGCGTAACATCTTCAGGCTCTCAACTTGGCAGAAACCTCAAGAAACCAGGGCGCCTATGGCACGTTGATGTGGCTATGAAACGTTTGTTGAACTTATTTCGCACCGTACGTAGCCAACCGTGCTAATCGGAGGTGCGGAGGAAGGACAACAAACTAAAGACGAAGCAGCTGTAAAGAAATGAGCTTTCAATTTAGTGCACCCGTGGCACTCGAGGTTTAACTGAGGCATGCCGGTGTGGCTATGGCACGGGATTAAGATTACCACCTCTGAGGTTCAAAAACTTGGCCATATAGGAAGCTGGTTATCTCACAATATCAGAAAAGGAGAAAAATACATGTAAACGCATTGTCTTGAATTACACAACTGACAAAACTGGGACATTTAATGTCCATGGAAAGGCTTACAGATTTCCCATAACAGCAGTGTTTTCAAAAGTTACACGGATGATCCCGTTTAGCCAGTTGCCCGGCTATTTTACAAGGGGAGATCCGTGTTGTGTGAGCACAGCAACAACAGAGGACGGTCCTGGGAAAAAAAAACCAGGGCAGGTAGCAACCCTAGGCATCGTGTACGTTGTGAAGTTACCTGGTGGTGTGCCAGCCAGAGACGTGCCACATGACGGGAGTGGAAAGGGAGTGGACCGAGGGGACAGACCTGGAATGAAGCAGACTTCTTTACAGGCAAAGCAAAGCAACGGTGCAGGTAAAGTAATCGCGGACGGGGAGCCCGCGAGACTGGCGAGGTCCTCTGCCCATCCCTTCCCCCGTGTCCCCGTGCCCTCGTGTGCCTCTACCCCTGTGCCCCTGTGCCCTCGTGCCATGTCCCCGTGCCCTCGTGTGCCTCTACCCCCGTGCCCCTGTGCCCTCGTGCCATGTCCCCGTGCCCTCGTGTGCCTCTACCCCCGTGCCCCTGTGCCCTCGTGCCATGTCCCCGTGCCCTCGTGTGCCTCTACCCCCGTGCCCCTGTGCCCTCGTGCCATGTCCCCCGTGCCCTCGTGTGCCTCTACCCCCGTGCCCCTGTGCCCTCGTGCCATGTCCCCGTGCCCTCGTGTGCCTCTACCCCCGTGCCCCTGTGCCCTCGTGCCATGTCCCCGTGCCCTCGTGTGCCTCTACCCCCGTGCCCCTGTGCCCTCGTGCCATGTCCCCGTGCCCTCGTGTGCCTCTACCCCCGTGCCCCTGTGCCCTCGTGCCATGTCCCCGTGCCCTCGTGTGCCTCTACCCCCGTGCCCCTGTGCCCTCGTGCCATGTCCCCGTGCCCTCGTGTGCCTCTACCCCCGTGCCCCTGTGCCCTCGTGCCATGTCCCCGTGCCCTCGTGTGCCTCTACCCCTGTGCCCTCGTGCCATGTCCCTGTGCCCCCCCGGCCACGCACCAGGCGAGGACGCCGCCTCGGAGAGGCTGTGCCGTGATCGGCGGCCGGGGCGCGCCAGGAAGCGCTGGCTGGCACGCGACGCGTCCTCCAGGAGCTGCAGGTTACGCCGATGCTCCTCCTCGGCGAGCAGCGGCTCGGGCAGCTCGTCCCGGAGCAGGTCCAGCACTCGGCCATCCTCGTCTCACGCGGCGAGAGGGGGCGGGGGGGGGGGGGGAGCGTGGACAGAGAGGGGTGTGGGCGTCAAACGGGGGAGCACCGATCACCGCACGTGCCAAGATCAATGAATGTGCGGTACGCGTTGCAGAAGCCGGAAATTGTGAATGTTCTTCGTTTGCAAGAAGATTCAAGCTGTGGAGCATGATGAGTACCTCTGAAGAACAAAAAAAAATGTAACAAATATTCGCGAATTGCTTTGTTTCAAAAATACCGTCGTGGCTGTACTTTGCATATCGAGTGTGGGGAGCGATAGCGCAGGGGTTAGCGCACCGCGCTGTGGAACCAGCGACCCGAACTCAATTCCCACTCACCACCAAACAGTGACAAATATATGAATCGATGCTGAGCATTCCCGAGGCCGTCTCAGCCGTTAATGAGTACCTGGGTGTGGTGGGTAAGCATCAGCACTGAGGAGACAAATGCGGCCGGGCGTGGCGCTGGCCACCACAACCCCTTCGTGTCCCGTGCAAAACACAATACAGTAGGTGCTCGCTTAGAGCACTTGTCGAACCGGCCTGTTAGAGGCTATACGGGGTATATTTGTCTTTGTGTATCAAGCGTTTCGTGGTGGAGGCTGCGGCATATTGCTCGTTATTAGCTGTGGGTTCCGTAGACTCCAGGTCAGTGCTCTTCACTGCAAGACCCACGGCCCCCGACACAACATGTTAATACCCCCCCCCCCCCCGAATCATCGTGGTGCTGTCAAACCCCCAATGGTTTCAAATATGTGGCGGCCCTTACACTGATTATGTCTTATCGGCGCGAGTGAAAATGAGCGAAGAGCGCTGCCCCAGGTAATTTGGCAGTGCCCTTAAAGGCACGGTAGAGAATTGTATCCGCCGTGAAACGAGAAGCTTTGAAGTACCTGCTGTCTTACCGACAGAGGTGATGGAGCTGGACGTCGAGGAACGAGACAGGCGGATGGAGCGCCTGTGGTTGAAGCTGTGAGGCCTGCCGGGGAGAGGGGGAAGAGCGGTTCGCAAGCAGCGTTCACGATCGGTGTCCGCGGCATTATCGACAACATTCCATCCATCGCTCGCGGAAGTATGACGGGGTCGTGACACGCAAATCAACACCCGGCTCCCGCTGAACTTTATTGCTTTGCTTTTTTTTGTTTCAAGGGCCGTTTAAGAGCAGCCGCTGAAAGAGCCCACGCACTATACGTCAGCTCTCTAGGTTGTGAGCGTTTAATTAAATGCATATTTCTGTTAAAAGTGCAAAATGGATCTAAATCGTGTGCCCGAGAGCTGACGACTGTAACCTCTGACCTATTGTACGCAGAGAGCTGAGAGAGATGACACTTCTAATGTCTTGAAATTGACTTTCGAATGATGTGTAAACTGCTCTGTTCATTTGACATTAAAAGTGGAAGGTCACTTTATGTAACCTTTGACCAACTGTAACTAATAAACCTTTTTAAGGTTGCTTGAGTAGCTTCATATATGTATGTGTGATGAGTTTACCCAATTTGTAACTTGGGGTAGCAATACCATTGTGAGGCGTACATTCCACACATGGAATTGCTTAAGAGAAACGTGTGCTCACATCACAGGATCGTTGAATACATTTAACCAAAATCATTCTGCAAGCATGTACAAGTTATTTTGTTAATAAATAGCAGCCTGCACATCCTTTGGACATGTCCCTCAACCACCCCTTCCCCACCACCCCTAACTCCCCTCCCTCGACCTTCCCACCAGTTAGCCAGCAAATTTTGTCTCTGACATGGTATGATATATCTCCGATTTACTCACCAGTCTTCTACCCAGTGAACATGGAACGTTGGGCCAACGTTGCGTCAACGTTGGTCCAATGGTTCCAATCGCACATGCCATCATTGGCCCAGCATGAACCACAATATCATTCATAATAGAGGGGTTTTTGGGGGGGGGGATTAGATCGGGTAAATATATAAATGTGTCATTAAACCCGCCACTACCCGACACAGCCAATCAGTAAGGTTTGTCACGTAAACAGAACGTGCCATTTCGTCACTAGTACAGCACACCGGTGTGTTGGAAAGTAAACCCACAACATTTACCTGGTTTAAAACCACCAACACCTTGCTGATCTCGTCAAGGAGCACAAACCATCGCGTGAACTCCGGTCATCCTCGCAGCAGCAGCGGCGGCTTTTGGCTGACTATCGAACAAAGACGGCGCTCACCGCATCGTGTGGCGCTTTCAGACGCGCTTCTGCGGCCGTTCGGGAAGCTCTCTCTTCCGATATTAGGAAGCCACTGGAGCTATGCACTTGTAAATCATCTAGATTGACAAACGAATTTCTTTTGAACTGCTTTTTGTGTTTAGTTTGTTTAACACGTAGGCTTTCGCGACCAATATTATTCATAATAAAGGTTTTTGGGTTAGATCGCGTTTATTTATGAATGTGTCGTAACCCTCCACCACCCGACACGGCCAATCAGCAAAAAAAAGTGTCACGTTGACAAAAGACAAATAATTCACTACTTTAGCCCACCGGTGTGTTGAAGAGTGAATCATCGATGATGCTGGATGTATTTACCAGCGAAACGTCGTACTCAAACTGTAAATGTGGATTCACTCTTCAACACACCGGTGGGCTAAAGTAGTGAATTATTTGTCTTTTGTCAACGTGACACTTTTTTTTTGCTGATTGGCCGTGTCGGGTGGTGGAGGGTTACGACACATTTATAAATAAACGCGATCTAACCCAAAAACCTTTATTATGTATTTAGTTTGTTGTCTTTCCCCTGCACCTCCGATTAGCGCGGTTCGCTACATACGGTGCAAAATAGTTCCACATACATACAACGTTGCACGTTTACTGAGTCTCGAGTCTTAATCGTGTTGAACACTGCATCATGTCTTCATGTTGTCAGAGGATAGTTTGCAAGTTTCCGATCCTCGCTCGAGCCTTCGGCTCCTTGGTATTTGCATCCTGGTACAGGATGACTCGTCTTTATGAGGATTGCTTCGATAGAATCTTTCACAACGCGGTACAAGAACAGGGTGAACTTTCGCGACACGACCTGGCCTTCGCGTGCACCAGTTACCATTAACGCTGCGATTGTACTTCGCGAATGTTTTCCAGCGTTTGCTGGTGCATTGCTGCACGGGTCCGGCGCAGGTACAGATCGCATGGCAGGTCCTGCAAGCCTAGCTCACTCCACTTGGGTCTGGCATGAGACAATCTGTGACGTGTCTATAACGCACGTGCCCGTCAGCTATGCGAGAAATAAGCAGGTGACCAATGATCAACTACGGATACGGAGGTGCCCAAATAACAGGCGTTAGTTTCGCCGGAATTTGTTTTGTTTGCCGAGGACGAATGAATAGGCAGAAAGACAGCAGTTATTCATTTCCAACTTTTAACGAATGCGCTTTTGCTTTTTTTTGCTTTCGATTTTGTAAGTCATGTCGTGGGAAATACGAGACACGAGCAATGGTATTCAAGATAGGGCGATATTTTAACGAAACGATATTTTAACGAAACGACATTTGAACGAAACGGACGATGCAATCATCGCGGAGCTTACAGCGTAGCAACACCGCTGTGCCGCCGCGACGCTGTCATTTAGTCCACCGGCAAACCGTTCCACCGCGAGCACGGCTTTTTGGGTGAAACAATTCACTTGCGATTTTCAATTGTTATGGTTCAGAAGACAGTTGTCGTTGTCGTCGTTGTTGTTGTTGTTTTGTAATTACTACAGCTCTCGTGAGGTTCAAACCGTGAGTGGAAGAAACAAAAACCGCACAGGTGAGCTGGATTTTTTTTAAAAACAAAAACAAAAAAAAGAAAGAGTGCCAGGAAACAATCCGGCAGCCAACCGCGCCAACGGAAGCGTTTCAACGAATCCGCGAGGCAAGGGGAAAAAGAAAGCAGCGCACGCAAGGGGCGAGGTTCGATGCGCTCACATTATTTGAACCTTGCCGCTGGTGTCGATGCCGGGCGAAGCATCGGAGGCGTCCGATGGACTCGACGGAGTCGCGGTTCCAGGAGGCAGCCGGCTGCGGGCCGCGCACTGTGAGGGCAGTGGAGTAGCACAAGGGGGGGGGGGGGGATTGGTGGGTGGGCAGCTGTGCGGTCCAGCAGAAGGCTTGCCCACGAGAATGTTTGGGGTTAATCGCTGCCGCAGCCAATGAGGCTGCCAACTTTATTTTCCCACAACCCAAGTTTCCGATCGTGGCGCGCGCACACACACACACGCACACGCACGCGTTGATACGTTTGTAAGCGTCGTGTATTGATTTGAATCAAAATCTTTCATAATCTGTATCTTGTGGTTTGCTTCTACCACTGCGACAGGAAGTATAGTAGGCAAGTACAGTCTCTATCGTAGCCAGTGGGAGGACACAGCCGGACGATAACACAACGTTAACTAATTTTGCCAAAAACAGAAAATACACGCATTGCCAATTTGACGTCACATTAGGAACGGCCAATTCTATTTTCAGCCCAAAGCTTTGAGAATTAAACGTAACTTTCAGTATTGCATAATATTAAGCTGGAATCGTCTCCACAGCGTGAGGTACATTCTCGTAAATAGAGAAGAAGCTTCGGCAGATTTAAACTTGTACAGCAGTGTTCATGAAAAAAAAATAAGAATAGGTTTTACCCTTTCTGGCGGAAGATGTACAAACACCTAATATAAACTCTGCAAGGAATCACGTCCGCATTAACCACATGTACTTGTGGTGAACACGCAAACAAACATAGTTTGATAAAAGATGCATTGTCTTTGAAACTGATTGGCCTACACCACAGACAGCCTTCTTTAGGGTCTAGTCTCACCAGCAGCGTTACACCAGAGAATGCCAAAAGTTGAACAGCACAAATACGACGCCACTCTCAGGGCATTCATAGCTCGGGGTGAGCAGCTTCAAAATGGGGCCTTTTTGGCCAGTATCAAATACTGGCAAAAACAGGTCCCACATTTTGTAGCAATGTTCTCATATCCCCGCCAAGTTATTTAAAAGTTCCTTTTAAGACGATTCAAGTCGGTGTGAAATTCGTGACCAAAATGCACACACGGTTCCATTTGACGTGGCCCCTGTGATGTTACTGGCCTAGAGTGAGGGCACGGAAAGGGTTAGGCGGTGACAGGACAGGGGTAGCAGGAGACAAGGTGGTGAAGGGTCAGGGTGGTGAAGGGTCAGGGTGGTGAAGGGTCAGGGTGGTGAAGGGTCAGGGTGGTGACAGGACAGGGTGGTGAAGGGTCAGGGTGGTGAAGGGTCAGGGTGGTGACAGGACAGGGTGGTGAAGGGTCAGGGTGGTGAAGGTACAGGGTGGTGAAGGGACAGGGTGGTGAAGGGTCAGGGTGGTGAAGGGTCAGGGTGGTGAAGGGACAGGGTGGTGAAGGGACAGGGTGGTGAAGGGACAGGGTGGTGAAGGGACAGGGTGGTGAAGGGTCAGGGTGGTGAAGGGTCAGGGTGGTGAAGGGACAGGGTGGTGAAGGGACAGGGTGGTGAAGGGACAGGGTGGTGAAGGGACAGGGTGGTGAAGGGACAGGGTGGTGAAGGGTCAGGGTGGTGAAGGGACAGGGTGGTGAAGGGACAGGGTGGTGAAGAAACAGGGTGGTGAAGGGACAGGGTGGTGAAGAAACAGGGTGGTGAAGGGACAGGGTGGTGAAGGGTCAGGGTGGTGAAGGGACAGGGTGGTGAAGGGTCAGGGTGGTGAAGGGACAGGGTGGTGAAGGGTCAGGGTGGTGAAGGGACAGGGTGGTGAAGGGTCAGGGTGGTGACAGGACAGGGTGGTGAAGGGTCAGGGTGGTGAAGGGTCAGGGTGGTGAAGGGTCAGGGTGGTGAAGGGACAGGAAGTACTGCGGAGGAGGATAAATGGTGGAGAAGAGTGTGGGAAAGGGGTCACGGCTGCGTGAGAGATGGGGCGTCGGGGATGATGGGAGTGTGGGAAAGGATAATAAGCGAAGGAGCTGGGCGTGGAGACGTGAGGAGGAGACCGTGGAGGTGACCGCCAGAGGAGGCGAGTGAAAGTCTGCCCTGGGGGGAAAGTAAGAGCATGGGAAGTCCCATGAAACATTTAAATGGGCTCTGTTTACATATTTAGCTGTGGCAGATACACAAGCAACACCAAACATTAAGATATAAACATTTCTCATGAAATCTGTTTGATTTAGCCAGGGGGTTTGGCTTGGGTCGGACGTGTGTTTAATTGGAGTGACTTTTTAGAAAACCCATTAATAGCCGCAAATGTGGTGCCGACGGAGGGTTCTTGAAATAAAAGACCCAAAAAAACATTTATACGACGGGATGTGTTGCTGTTGTTGTGGTCAACAGAGAACGGACAGGTGCTGAAGGAGGTCGGCTCGCAATTGCGTTTTGTGATTGTGAAAATTACGTCAACATGAAAATCAGAGCGGCTGCTTGGAGCAGTTTCAGATGCCAGCCGTGACGGACGGCGTGACGTCGTCAGCTCATGTCTCCCCCGACTTCAAATCCTGCGTCCAACCGCTGCACTGCAGCTCCGTTTGCTGCTCTACCTCCCACTGGCCTCGCTCAATTCAAGAAAGGCCTTCAAATCTTTTCCGCTGCACCGTTGACGGCGTTGTGCCGTTGTGGCGTGTTTTGTGGCCTTTTTAAAAACATCGATTGAGGCAATGTGCGAGGCCCGTTGGTGTACGGTGCTTTTTTCAGGAATATTTTGATGTTTTTTTTTTCTCTCCCTGGATTTTCTGTTTGCACAGTCACACACAGTCACTTTAAGATGTTTTTCTTGTTCGTGTTTTTTTGTTTTTGTTTGTTTGTTGCGGTTGCACCCGATTCAAGAGCCGAATGGCTCACAGGGCTATACCAAATAAATGAAACTATGAAACTAAACTAAACTATACCGTTACATCACGTTGTGACGCACGTGTACACACAGTCAACATAAGCTAAACCAAATTTTGATTTAAAGCTTTCGTGACTGCAGTAATTCATAATCTTAGTTTTTTCGGTAAAGTCACGTTGAAGAGAAACAACAAAATAATAAAATATATATAAAACAATAAAAAAAATTCTCACGACGTTTCGACCATAACTCAAACGGTCGTCTTCTGAAGACGAAACGTCGTGAGAATGTTTTATTGTTTAATATATATTTTATTATTTTGTTGTTTCCCTTCAACGTGACTTTACCGAAAAAACTAAGAATATAAGCTAAACCAGTTATGAAAAGCAGGAGATAGAAAGACGGGGAACGGGCTCGCTGCAACAAACAATAACGGTGGGGGGGGTGGGGGGGATCCCACGGAAAAGGAAAATATAAGGAGGAAGGGATGACAAGGGGAGAGAGAGAGAGAGAGCGGGAAATAACTTAAACACGACTGACATAAAGAAAATTAAAAACAAACGTGAGATGCAACCTATACGAGCATTTTTTTTGTATTTCCACCCCTCCGCAACTCGCGGCCTTTTTCGCGCGCGCTGCCCGTCGCTCGAGCCGTCGTTGACATCGAAAACGAACCAAGTAAACATCGTCCTCTCCGTGGCCGCCGTCTGGAGGTGCACGTGCCTTTACCGGGCAATTAACCCCGTGCTATTTCTCGCTGCGCGGGCTGCGGTCCCGGCAAACGCCGCGCGGTCGCGGGTGGGCGTTGCCTCGGCGGTCCCCCGGGGCCGCTCCCCACCCGCGACCGCTGCTTGCGGCCCCATCGGAGTCGCCGCGGCAGGCGCCGTGCTGCGTCCTCCGCGAGTTTTGCGCGCAGAGACGCACGCCCCCAGCTGCTGGATGGGCGCGTCCCACGTGGAGGTGGAGAGCGGCGATTTAAATTACGGGTGGGAGGGTGGTGGGGGTGGTGGGGGCGTTCGCTGAGCCACGTAGGACTCGCACACGCGCGCAGGCACGCACGTGGGATCTGCGCGTGTGCGCGTGTCCAGGCTTGTCATCATTTCCCTTTTCTGGTGTTGTCCCACGTTTGTTGCCTCTTTTTGCCGTCTTTACCCATCACCTTCTCCTTTCCTGCCCTCGGCGCTGCGTGTTTTATGGCTTGCGCTCTAAAGCGGTCCGAGAAGCTTCGGCATTTTGGCACCAAACACATGCAAATCCTCATCCTGTAAATTCCGTACCAGACCGGTTCCCTCCTTGAATGTGTTGAATCCAGGCACTGCCCCTCCTGAATTCAGAGCCAACAATCACTTTGAACCTACAGCCTGAGTTGACACGCACCAGCAAGTGCCTGGACGACGGCATCACGCAATGTGCAACGTGAATCCTGGATTCTGCCGGTGAGACCTGCGAGATTGTGCGGTCTGCAGTGACAGGCCACCGTCCCTCCGTCCCACGGCCATCTCACATCACCGCCTCGTCCTGAGCGTGTGCCTCAACTCTTTATGGTACACTTCTATTTCACAGCCTCCCAGTTCGGGTGGTGGGGGGGGAACCCCACGTGTAGCCGAGTCGTGGTGACCACTTGTACGTACGTCCAAAGTTGGGCACATATTTGCGAAACTCTCAAACGCACAGGGACTGTGGCGTGGCCAGGAGATGGGATTACCGCCGGTGGGTTCGTGAACCCATCTGTGTGCATCTCTGAGTTGTTATCCGCTTGTATTGGTGGGTGTTATCCCGTGACCCTGGTGTGACCTGGACAGGTGTGTGTGTGTGTGCCGCTTCCGAGCATCGATGGGGCATACTACATGACATCCCCGCTGTGTGAGTGCGGGGAGCAGGAGACCCTGGAGCAAATCGTCTCCGGTTGTGTAGTGGGTCACAGCGTGCTGGGCGGGCTGGTTGTACTTGCCCTGCACGTGCTGGAGGAGGAGGCGGCTGTCACATGGCTCTGTGTGACTACGTGGGCTGACGTCCACTCACAGAACATCGGCCATACATATGAAGTTAATTAATTGCCTTGTATACCTGCTTTCCTCTCACTAGCAAAACAAAACAAAAAAACCTCCTTCAAAATGGAACACGACTGCTCAAACAAACCCCGAGCGATCCTCCTGAAAAACTCCCGAGACTCGGTGAGGCTCTCCCGGACGTTACCAACCGGAAGCGCGCTGCTGAAAACGCATCGCTCCACGCCGTGCGGTTTCACGAACGATGGACCGGCCTTGAATCGTTGCAGGGCCCGCACCCTGCCTGGATTAAAAAACTCACCGCCGCGCCTTCTGCGCCGTCGATCCTGTCGAGGCCGGAGCTGTGGGACACACCGATGGCGCCGGACGACGGGGACGGAGGCAGCCACAGGCCCGGGTGGAGGCAATAGCAGGGCTTGTCCATCACCTGCCGGAGTTGGCCACGCGTTGACGACAACAAAACCGTTCAGCTCCGCTCGCGGCGACCGCTTCCAATGCCCTACGCAAACCCCCGTAATGAGAACCCTGCAGAGACGACCAATCGGATGACGGGAACAGAATAGGCTTGACCTTTTCCGGAAAAAAAAATACTAAACTACAAACATAAACGTTTTGTTACTGTACAAGGTAAGACACACCGAGCGAGCTATGTCGCTCTTTTTAAGAAGCGACCTGGCCACAAGTGATAGCTCCACGAAGTGGCGCGTCACGTGGACATGTGTACGCATGTGCGTGCACGTGAGCGAGTATTTGCAGGCAACATTTGTATGTTTATGTCGTGTACATGTGTAGAGTCATTTTTTTTTAACGAGGCCACAAAATTTACTCGGTTAGAAAAGGGGCTCATTGCAAAAAGGCTCAATAACAATGTGCATTGTCTGCTGATGTAAATACTTCCCACAAACCAACGCTATTTTGGTTTAGCACATTGGCTTTCCCGACCAATATTATAAATAAGATGTTTTTTTTGGGTTTGATCATGGAGGATTTTTCCCCAGAACTCTGGCTGTCATCTGATGAGGCTGGTTGTAATTACCGGCAAAACGTCGTACATGAATTGTAAATGTTGTCAGGTGGCGGTCGGTTAACGACACGTTTTTATTTATGCGATCTAAGGGGGCCGTCCATAAATGACGTCACGCGATTTTGGACGATTTTTGACCCCCCCCCCCCCCATCGTGACACGGCGTCATAAAAAGTCAGACCCCCCCTAAAATATGACATCACAAAGCTCTGCCCCCCCCCAAAAAAAAACACAAGCTTCAAATCGCTTTAAACTATTGTATTGCGTATTTAATGTGCCGCTGCACTCTGATGTTGTAAGAGAAAACATGTATTAAAAAGTGTATTTAATTAAGTAGAACGTGTTGTCTGTATTTATTTAAAATTGCTAATTTTGATGTGACGTCAAATTTCTCAAACCCTCCCCCCTCGTCACACATCGTCACAAATGTCTGACCCCACCCCCCCCTAGGTGCGTGGCATCATTTATCGACGGCCCCTAACCCAAACAAATCCTTTATTACAAACAAAGTTACGCTACCTTCACACAAAGAGGCAACGCGATGGACATTATGGTCTCATCGTCGACCCGGCGCCTGCGCTCGCTCAAGCGCCGAGCAACGAGGGCACCGCTTGCTCGCTAGCGGAGGGGCCACGTGCCAGCGGCCGTGCGTGGTCCGTGGCGGCTTCGCAAAAAATTCCCACGCCTCGGGTGCGAGCGAGCGAGCGACCGACGACCGACGAAGACGACCGACAACTACCGACGATGGTGACGACCGATGACGACCACGACCGACAACTACCGACGATGACGATGACCGATGACAACGTCGACGACCGACGAGGACTACGACCGACAACAACCGACGATGACGACGACCGATGACGACCGACAACTACCGACGATGGTGACGACGACGATCGACGACTACCGACGAAGACGACGACCGATGACGACCACGACCGACAACTACCGACAACGACGACGACCGACAACAACCGACGACGACGTCGAAGACTGACTACGACCGACGACTACCGACAACGACGACCAACGATGACGACAACGACGACCGCACAACTACCAACGACCGACGACAACGGAAGCCTCGCTCACCTCGCTGGTCTGCGTCGCCGCGGAGACGCGCCGGGACTTGGGCGCGTGGTGGCCCTCCCTGTGCTCCGTCTGCGTGCCAACACTGGGCGAGAGCGGTCCGTCGTTCGGTACGACGGAAGCAGAAGGGCGATGCCTTCGCAACGCAGCCGCGGGCACGGCGCGGTTCGCCCGGCCAGGAGGGGGGGGGGTGGCTGGGAAGGGGATGAAGGTCCATGGGCAGCAGCGATCTCTGGGCCTTCCTTCCGTGACTGCCCACGGCTGTGTCAGGAAGTCCAGTTCGGTGGGGATATTCAAGTCCCGGCCTAACGGACGTTCCTCTTTCAGAAGGCATTTTCCATTTAAACTTCGCAACTCCTCTCCCAATCTCACCGCCCCGTTGTCAATGATGTCAAGTACCTTCAGATTTTAAAAGCTGTAATTATTATTATCATTATAATCCTTCACAACAAGTAATGGGGGAGGGGGGGGGGTGCGCTAACTAGAACCTTGCATTGTACCTGCTGAACGACTGCACAAGAGAAACTCTGCCGAACAATTAACAAGAAACCCCAAGACAACAGCGATTCTCCTTTGCCACCCGGACTCAAGCTGTGCAGCAACACTCATAGGCACATTGTTGTGCGTTATATAATAAAGTGAACCGCAATATTTTAAATGCGTAAATCGACGAGTGCCGTGCACAGGGTCTGTGCCCCACACAGACGGTCGTCACTGATCTCATCTTATTTTTTTTATTTATATAGCAGCTCGACCAAGGCGCTGAACAAAGAATTAGCTCTTTGATTTAAAGCTTTCGTGACGGCAGGGATTCATATTCTTGGTTCTTTCGGTAAAGTCACGTAGAAGGGAAACAATAAAATAATTAATATATAAAAAACAATAAAATTCTCACGACGTTTCGACTGCAACACAAGCAATCATCATCAGGTGTGAAAACCACAGCAAGAATTTTTGAAAAAAGTGGCGGTTTTTTGCTAATTTTCTTGCTGTGGTTTTCACACATGATGATGATTGCTTGTGTTGCAGTCGAAACGTCGTGATGATTTTATTTTTTTATATTTTTATCATTTTATTGTTTACCTTCTACAGTACGTGACTTTACCGAAAGAACCAAGAATATAAAGAATTAGCTCTTTGTACAGCCGAATAGTGTCTGATGAGATGAGATGAGTAGGATGCTAGTACATGATGATGAGCGAGTGCGATGAATGGGTAGGGAAGTTGGGAAGAGGGATGACGGTGTTAACGATGGCGGAAGGGAGGGGGTAGGAGATTTGGGGTAAGCGAGGGAAAGTAAGAGAATTTTAAGGGAAGAACAAAACATGAAGAGTGAGGCTGATTGTTTGAGGTTAAGGGGCAGCTTGTTCCAGTGTAAGGTGGCCAGAAGCGATAAAGAACGCCATGGTGATTGGGCACGAGGAGGAGGTGGAACAGAGACAGAGAGACAGCCGGGATTGTGAGCGCAAGGACGAGATGAGGGAAGCGAGATGATACGCTGGGGCCAGACAATGGAGAGATTTTAAAACTGGTGTGACTACGCCGATGGACACCAAATGAACGGATGAACAGGTCCAGTGCGCAACTTATTGCGACCGCAGGACAGAGGCCCTGGCAAGGACACTCGGATTCCACGTGGGACCTTCCCTTGCACAGACAGGGCCTCGTTGTTTCATTGGCTGTGATAGCGCTGGTGACGAGGATTACGTGAGCGAGTGGGTATTATTGTGCGCTATGTTGAAGTCGCTCTGTGATGTAAACTTCCGGAATGAGGGGGATGATGATGAGATTGATGGGTTGCTCCATTCATTGCGGAGTCGTTTCGACTCAACATCGTGAGGGCAGCGGGTCAACAGCTCTTCAGCGGGCGATTGCCTCCCCGAGCCTTCAGGTCACGAGGGTAATTTGACCACAGTGGTCAGTGCCTGTTGCTGGAGGGGGGTAGCATGGACGAGGACGCGCGCATGTACGCAGCCACAAACGGATTGTGCTGGACTGCCTCAGCGTGCATTGGAGTCTCCATGTCTACGGTTGCTTTGCACGGACGAGCACCTGCTTTAACAATCCACAAATTAAAACCCGGAACTAAGGTGTCAGTCAACTTTTAAAGATAACATCCTGCCGCTCGGTGTGCCACCAGCCTGAGCGTCACTGTGTTTCCGAGGCTAAAACGTGACCACCCTCAGTGGTGCAATCTGAAGGCAATGACCCAATGTTTCTATCGTTCTGGCAAGGACTGCAAAATAACACATCTGTATTTTACCAGGTAAGGTCCACTGAGCTATGTAGCTCTTTTTCAGAAGCGACCTGGCCATCACAAATGACAGCCCAACGAAGTGGCTGATCACGTGGAAATTTATAGCAGCCAAACACTTTAAACGCGTGCAGCTGATTCCAAGTGGAGGGAAAAACCGGAGGACCCGGAGAAAAATCCAGGCGGCCATGGGGAGAGAGACAGGCAAACTCCAAATATACAGCAGGCATCAGGGTCGGGATCGAACCCACGACCTCCTGTATACCAGGCGAGGAAGTTAACATCTCCTGGCCTCCGTGGCACCCAAAAACAACACGCAGTAAACTTTGAGAAGCTGAAAGGCCCTGCCATGATTCGAGCATTCAACTTCCCCTGGTGATCCAGTGAAATGGATCGGCACATTTCTGACTTTTAAATGTTTGTGTTTACACTGCAGTGAATCGAAGCAGCTGCGCTGGGCTCGGCAAAACTCGTTAACACGAAATAAAAAATAAAGACGTTGATTCTCACGCACGCGAACCCCGCGCGTGCCTCGTTAATCAACTAATCGATCCATCCGTCGTTCCAGCCCCTAGTGTTCGGCTTAGTTTGGCGGCGTCAACTCACGGTGACGTTCCGTGATGCGACGCGTTCCTCTGTGGATCGACGGAACTCCCAGCACCGTGTTCCTCTGTCTCGTTGACCGTGCCCGTCCGGTGCTCGCTGAGCTGCATTGGCTTCCAGTTGCCGAATGAATAACGTTACCGGGTCACACGATTGGCCACAAATGAACCACGAGACCTTGCTGATCTCGTCAAGCAGCGTGAACCATCACACGAACTCCAGTCATCCTCGCAGCAGCAGCAGCAGCAGCGGCGACTTTTGGCTGCTGCCCGTCGAACAAAGACGGTCACCGCATCGCGCGCTTTCAGATGCGTTCCTGCGGCCGTCTGGAACGCTCTTCCTCCCAACATTAGAAAACTACTGGGAGCTGTGCACTTTTCAATCCAGATTGAAAACTTTTAACAGCTTTTTTGTTTTCGGCTTGTTGTCCTTCCCCCGGCACCTCCGATTAGCACGGTTGGCTACGTACAGTGCGAAAGACGTTCAACATACGTACATTATGCGACTCAAGCAGCAAACCTGAGCTTGCAGCAAAAAAAAACAACAACCATCTCCATCGCTATTAACCATTCTCTATCCACTCCTGGATCAACACATTTAGAGTATTTCTCCTGTAGTAAGCACTGGACATCCATGATCTAGTGAGGCTGGGAACGACATTCTTTCCTTGGATTGCTGGCTGCCGTGTGATTTTACGATCATTTTCCAATGACGCATTTTACATGCTCGTTAGTGGGTTTCGTGTTCCTTGGGGCGCTGCGGGTATTTATTGTAGAACAAGCACTTTATAAATAGAACTGTCATTATCTTCTGCAAGTTGCAAAACAGCTTTGGCAGGCACCGCACGGAATTTACACTAAACATGGATATTTTGGCCGCTTTTTGTTTTCTTGCGGTAAAATTATTTTCCTCCGCCGCTGTAACGGGAAGGGGTCTGTCCAGAGGAGCCACACTGAGGGGGGGTCAAGTTGACGCGGAGACCGCGGGGTCAGAAAACACGGGCACCGGACAAACAAAACGGAACAAAGTCTGGAAAGTCTGAAAATAAGCGTGAATAGATTCATGCTGGGAATTGAGAGAGAGAGAGAGACAAAGCCTCTGGAGTGGGGAGCGTATGCAAATCATACCACGGTGGAGAGATGTTAACTCCCTCGCCTGGTATGCAGGAGGTCGTGGCTTCAATCCCAACCCTTACTCCTGTATATTTGGAGTTTGCATGATTTCCCCGTGGTCGTGTGGACTTTTCTCCGGGTCCTCTGTTTTTTCGCCCCACATGTAGAATCAACATCACGCGTTTAGAGTATTTGGCTGCAATAAATTCCCACGTGATGATAAAGCCACTTCGTTGGGCTGTCATTTGTGGCCAGGTCCCTTCTGAAAAAGAGCCAGATAGCTCAGTGGGCCTTACCTGCTAAAACAAAATTCGTTTATAGTTTAAATCGTGGAAGTTACCGAATTTGGCGACTACAGAGCAGCAGTGCGTGGGAGTCCACCCACCGTCTAACGGTTATAAAACCCATCGACGATTACCCATACACCCCATCTCCCTCTCAACGTCTCGCTGACGTTCCCAACAGTAAGCGGACCGCTCTTCTTGTGCACGAGCTGACTTCACAGTTCCATCCCCGAGGTGCTCGCCACGCTGGGCGCACGTTTCTCTACGCTGGCTGCCATTCCATCCACCAGGCCCTGCCCAGTCGCATTTGCTTTCTCTCACAGTCAATAACACTAAAACTATCAGAGTAAACTTTTTATTCTAGCAGGTAAGACCCACTGAGCTACTGTGCAGCTCTTTCTCAAAAGCGACTTGGTCACAAATGATAGCTCAACAAAGTGGCTTGTCGTGTCGAAATTGATAGCAGCCAAATAATCAAAATGCACGTTGATTCTAAACGTCCCATTAAAAAAAAACACGTATTGTTAACGTCGGCCTTTGAATGATTATAACTTGATTTGGGTGCGCTTTGCGTCTTACGATGTATAATATTTTTTTGTATTGTTGTTGCCTTGTAGAGCATTGGGGGATGCCTCTGTGCGTGAACGACGCCACATCATATGACACAACTATTATTATTATTAACAAGGACAGCGATTTTTGGTTTTCACACCTGATGATGACCGTTTGTGTTTACGGTCGAAACGTCGTGAGGATTTTTATTGTTTTATATTTTTTTTTATTTCATTGTTTCCCTGCAACGTGACTTTACCGAAAGAGCTAAGAATATGAATAAGGCCAGCGATGTCAACACGCAAACTGGGTACAATTTTTAGCGTTTACTTACTCCGACCTGGAAGGCCGGAGAGACAGAGAAGCTGAACAAGGAGACTCAGCGCAGAGGAAACGCAACCGGAGGGGGGGTAGGAGGTGGGGGCGGGGGGGGTGGGGGGGCGGGGGGGGGGCAGGGGGGGCGGGGGGGTAGGAGGGGGGGTAGGAGGTGGGGGGGGCAGGGGGCGGGGGGGTGGGGGGGGGAGGTGGGGGGGTTGGGGGCAGGGGGGGTGGGGGAGGGCGGGGGGGGGCAGGGGGGTAGGAGGTGGGGGGGTTGGGGGCGGGGGTGGCAGGGGGGGTAGGAGATGGGGGGGTTGGGGGCGGGGGGTGGGGGAGGGCGGGGGGGGGCAGGGGGGGGTGGGGGAGGGCGGGGGGGGGGGCAGGGGGGGTAGGAGGTGGGGGGGTTGGGGGCGGGGGGGTGGGGGTGGCAGGGGGGGGTAGGAGGTGGGGGGGGTTGGGGGAGGGCGGGGGGGCAGGGGGTAGGGCAGAGGGGGGGCAGGGGGGGGCTTGCTTACTGCTGGTAGGGCCAGGGGGTCGTGGCGTGGCGGCCCCAGGGTGAGGGAGGCCGGCGAGGGTGCAGGCGGGGGTGAGACGGCCGCAGCTGGGGGTGCGTCTGTAGCAACTCCAGCGTGAGCGCGTCTGGGGGCGGGGGAAAGACGTTCAACGTGCACACACAGACAGACATACATAGAGACATAGACACATACATACAGACATACATAGAGACATACAGACAGAGATACATAGAGACATACAGACAGAGATACATAGAGACATACAGACAGACATACATAGAGACATACAGACAGACATACATAGAGACATACAGACATACATAGAGACATACAGACAGACATACATAGAGACATACAGACAGACATACATAGAGACATACAGACAGACATACATAGAGACATACAGACAGACATACATAGAGACATACAGACAGACATACATAGAGACATACAGACAGACATACATAGATACATACAGACAGACATACATAGAGACATACAGACAGACATACATAGAGACATACAGACAGACATACATAGAGACATACAGACAGACATACATACATAGAGACATACAGACAGACATACATAGAGACATACAGACATACATAGAGACATACAGACAGACATACATAGAGACATACAGACAGACATACATAGAGACATACAGACATACATAGAGACATACAGACAGACATACATAGAGACATACAGACAGACATACATAGAGACATACAGACAGACATACATAGAGACATACAGGCAGACATACATAGAGACATACAGGCAGACATACATAGAGACATACAGACAGACATACATAGAGACATACAGACAGACATACATAGAGACATACAGACAGACATACATAGAGACATACAGACAGACATACGCAGAAGGGAAGGCTCAATTTGTATACAATGACTATGGGCGGTCACGTGGATTTTCCTGCGGGTTTTCCAGTTTTTCCCTCCCCATTTGTAAACACGCGTTTAGAGTATTTGGCTGCTATACATTTCCACGTGAATAAGCCGCTTCGTTGAGCTATCATTTGTGGCGAGGTTTTTCTTAAAAAGAGCTATGTAGCTCAGTGGACCTTAGCTGGTAAAATAAAAAAATGGTTTATATAGACTAGGTTAGCTTTAGTTTTTATTTCTTTAAAAAGAAAACATTCTCCCCGATGTTCATAGCCACTAGCACCCCTAAGCCGAGCCAGTGGGGGTTAATCCCACGTTCCTATGGTCAGTCTCTTCATTGCTTGCAAACTGGGTGGTGGGCTTAGTCGACCCCTAGCAGGGGTTGAACTCGCACCGTCCAGAGGTGCGTCGAGCACTCCACGCCGGGCTCACGAGAATTTGACAACAACAAAAAAAACGGCCTTCAAGACCGACAATTAATTTCATGATGGATATGAAATGTTAAAACCTGATCAAATGACTAACACCTGCTGTGTTGCGTAAGTGGCCTCGCGAATCGGTCTAGAATGAAAGAGGCTGCTCAGAATGGTAACTCATGAATTTCATGCATTCCCAGTAAATTTGACATCTCAAAGCAGTGCCAGGAGAATGACAAAGAGCAAGAAAGCTATCGCTAACCCCAACTGCCGGCGATGATTTTGGCCTCACGAAATTGCTCGGTCTTGATGCCAAATAAAAGAATGGTGCGACAAGAGGCTCATGAATGTCAAGTTCTCAACACTAGGGTGAGGGAATAATAATTGATCGTAATGATTTCAGCCCGGGACGCGTCTCCGTTGCAGAGTCTTCTTCTCTGCTCGCTCGCGAGGGGAGAGATAAGTATTCGGTGGCGCTAGGAGGAAACACAGACGAGCGGGGAAGGCACCAGCAGCCACGCGATGAGCCATCGTAAAATTCACCGTTAAGCTCTGTGGTCCTCTATAAATGAAGGCGATATCAGAGGGACCACTCACGAGCGGGGAAGGAGGCAGTAGCGACGCATTGGGCCCTCGACAAATTCCACCCCCAAGCTCTGCGTTCCTCTGCTTACGAAGGTGATATCGGCCAATTAACGAGCATTTGCACGTGTGGGCAGGACACCCGGAGAAAACCCCATGGGTACGTGTGCACCTCGGACGCTCCGGGATGATGCACGGCGGCCCCGGACCAGGACAGTGCCGCTACAGGCAAATCGATGTTGGCCATAGGCTGCGGCTTCAGTTTCGGCACGCTGCAGCCTCAAGGCCAAGCCGCTGTCACTCAGTCGGGGCACAACGAGGCCCCGGAGTGCCGGGGCTGTCCCACACGAGCGTCCGGCTCTTTACCGGCAGCAGGGGTTCACTGCGCTCTTGTAATTAAATTCAGTTGCCACGCCAATTTGCGGCCCCTTAGAACACTCCACTGTTGGACGCAGGCCTCTCCATGCAATGTTAGTCGTGCCAGCTGTTTGACCATACTTCACCACGCTGAGGTTAGTGAAACCGGCGGGGTGGGGGGGGGGGGTGGGAGGGGGGTGGTCGAGGATTGGTTCGGATACCACTTGTCACCGACGTGGGCTGTGGCCCGGTATCGAACTCAGACCACATGCCCCCTACTCCACCCATCCTCCTCTGGATTCACAATCCACACGGGAGTGAAAGGCATGGGCGGCGTCACACGAGAGCATCTTGAAGTGCTACGCGGGAAGAGCGATGGTGGGCGCAGGGCCCCGGAGAAGAGGAGGCTTCGGGTTTGCTTGGCGCGTCGGTGACTCCACCACGAAGCGGGAGACGTGCCCGCGACGTGCCCGCGACGTTCCGCGCTGTGCCCGAGACGTGCCCGCGACGTGCCCGCGCCGTGGCCGCGCTGGAGACGCACCAATGAGCGGCGTGTCCCAGGGCCGCGGGCCGACATGCGAAGCCAGGCCGGAGCAGTCCCTAAGCTCCAGCGGGCAGCAGGAATGATGGGCACAGCCCGCGGCGAAGCCCTCCACTCGGCCCGGGACAACGCAGCGTGACTGCAGCTGCTTGCGAGGAGGGGGGGGAGGGGGGTGGGTGAGGAGGGGGAGGAGGGGGGTGGGTGAGGAGGGGGAGGAGGGGGGTGGGTGAGGAGGGGGAGGAGGGGGGTGGGTGAGGAGGGGGAGGAGGGGGGTGGGTGAGGAGGGGGATGAGGGGGGTGGGTGAGGAGGAGGGTGGGTGAGGAGGGGGAGGAAGGGGGTGGGTGAGGAGGGGGTGGGTGAGGAGGGGGAGGAGGGGGTGGGTGAGGAGGGGGCGGAGGGGGGTGGGTGAGGAGGGGGAGGAAGGGGGTGGGTGAGGAGGGGGGTGGGGGAGGAGGGGGAGGAGGGGGGTGGGTGAGGAGGGGGAGGAGGGGGGTGGGTGAGGAGGGGAGGAGGGGGGTGAGGTGGGGGGTGGGTGAGGAGGGGGAGGAGGAGGGGGGTGAGGAGGGAGGAGGAGGGTGAGGAGGAGACCAGGCGTCAGCCTCGCCACAGCTCGAGAAGCAAGCGTCCTACAACAATAATAATTTAGCAGGGAGGAAAACATTTTAAATCTCATCTTATATCGCGACGGAATACTTTGATTTTTATGTGAGATAATTACGCAACGGAAATCTACGCAAATGACTATTCCTTAACCCTTTATTTAGGTTTACTTAACACTTTTACACGAACAGGTTTCATATTCTTGGTTCTTTCGGTAAAGTCACCACGTAGAAGGGAAACAATGAAATAATAAAAATATAAAACAATAAAATTCTCACGACGTTTCGCCTGCAACACAAGCAATCATCATCAGGTGTGAAAACCACAGCAAGAAAATTTGAAAAAAGTGGTGGGTTTTTTTAACGAACAGGTTTGTTCGTTCGTGCATTTTAATTCCATTGGTCCCTCTGCTTACATCTTCTTATATTCCCTCAGGGAATTCTTGAAAAGGGAGATTTGTGCCTAAGTGGGCTCGAGGCCTGGTAAAACAGGCCGACAGGGAGCGGTGGCGTAGCGGTGCTGGGCCTCCCCTAGGTCGACTCAGCCTCAAACGAGTCCCTGGTGCATTGTGTCAACATCGCTACTCGGGATACTGGCCAGCCACCACGTCGCGTGCCACTCCGGTCTTCATACGTGCTCGCTCACAGCACTTGCCCCAACAATCTGTGAAGACTATGCGGTGGATCTTTGTTTTTGTTAAGCAGGCCTACGCTGCCCGACTTTGACATCACTAGGAGGCCGAACGAGGCAGCAGTCGTGGGCTGTTTCGCGAGTCCGACTCGTGATTCGTCAAAACGAACAACAATCTTTAAAAAAAATGGGACCTTTTATTGCCGGTGAAATGACACCGACGACCGTGTGTACTAGGAGACCTCTTTATTTTTGACACAAGCACAACAACCAGGCCCGAGCTTCGTTCTTCTTCTTCTTGAAACTCGTCCCCTTTGATCCTTCTCGGGGGGGCCCCGCTCTCTCGAACTTTCCCCTCACTCTTTTTTTTTTACCGCAGCCAATCCCCGTGCTTCTCCTCCAACGGTTTCCCAACCGTCGCCTGCGGGCGGGCTCCGCTCTGTTTCCAAACTTTTTCGTCGTTTAAACATTCTCCTCCAATCTCTTAAAACCCCTGCCTCCCGACCAATCATCGTGGAGGCCTCTCTACGCCAATGGGAGGCCTTGGGCTACTTTTTAAATTTACGGTTTGGCTGCAAATTGGCTTGGGGTGAGTGCCTCATAATTTAGGTCATTACACCAGTCTCAAAGTATGAAGAAATACGAATAGGCTTCATTGCGAGAAAGACTAAAACCTATTCTTATTTTTTCAACAATCTTGCAACTTTCCTGTGTCCGCAACCGTGCAACAGTGCGCATCCGCATGCGATGTCACACAACCATCAGCCGCATCGGAACATCACGGACAGGCCGACTCGCACGCCTCCTTCATGAATGGAAAATTAAAGACACAATCCAGGGCAGTGCAATTGTAGCCATTCAACCCAAACCTACACATACTCTCTCCTGAAGCCCTCTCGTCATGGCTGACATACCTCGACATGGGCATTAAGCTGCAGATCCTATTGCCAATATGCAAGCAGAGAAAAGATCACAGGAAGCAGTCACTACACCCCGGTGGAACATGCCGTGCCCATGCATTAACCATGACAACCTTGATCGTTGGTGGCGTAAGAGCTACTGAAAGCAATGCGTCCACAATACAAATGCTCATTTGCCACCTATGCTGGGTCTCAACTCACAAGTGTGAGCAATAACTCCGATTATTCAAACACATTTATTAATGTACGTCGAGTAAACGTACCAGAATTGTTTCTTAATTCAAAATAATCCACCCCCGGTGGCGTGTAGAGTGATTAATGCATCATCATCGTCGTCGTCATTCTAAGAATTTACACCTCGGAGTGGGGGGGTTAAGTCGCGCGATGCCTGGGTACAGCGATCAGCTTCCCGCCGTGAGCTGCGATGCCGACGGCATTGTAAACGTCATAATCACGGCCACACGGGGGATGTGAGAGGTGGTGGTGGGGGGGGGGATAGATGGGCCTCACCGACAGGACGACATCGGGCTGACTCTTCTGCAGCTGAATGCTGAGGGAGCTCTTATCGGTGGCCACTTCCCACCCGGCTCCACCCTCCGCCTTCTTCGCGGCGGCGGCGGCGACTGACGACGACGCGGCGGCGGCGGTGGTGGCAGCCTGGCGGTGGGTGCGGAGGGAGCGTTCAGCGATCAGAGAAGAGATGGAGGAGGAGGGTGAACCCTCGTGCCCAGGCAACGCTCTCCTGCGACGATGCGTCCACCCATTGTCGTTCCCCACACCACCGATTTTGTACCACGTAGCGCTCTGGGTGAAGCTCATAGTTCGCAGAGCAGTGCAACCCTTTTGTGTTAAGGAAACGGCCCGAGGAAGCAGATATCACAGTGCTACTTCTGAAATTCCTTCGAGTGACCCCTGGGGTCCACACGGTAGAGGGCTGCTGTGCTTTACCACCTGCTCTGCATATGAGAGTAATGTTCGCTGCAAGAACAGTCGAACCTAAATGTTTATTCCCAGCGCTAAAATGCTGCCACGTTAAGTGCAGACGCAATTTTAACTTGATCTTTTTTTGTGCGCAGCCATTGGTGACCAGGCTGTGGCCATCATCCACTCACTGCACTTGAGAAGCGCGTTTAATCACAGGCGACTGAAATCTGGATTGGAACCCGGGGGCCTCAGTGGTGTCAGCTCAGCGCCCCGAACTCTGACCCACCAGACACGTGCATCGGCTCGTGCGTGTGAGGATTTGGCTTTTCAATCAATTGACGTAATGGATTAGTGCGGCTTGTCCAGTCTCAAGAGGCTGCCACAGTAAATGGATAACTTCCTTCACGAATTAACTCTTGATTGAATTGTGGCCCTGGGTTGAGACATTTCACTGGATCGTGAGGAGAAGGAGGAGGAGGAGGTGGGAGCGGATCGTTACACCCCGAGCGGAAACATAATGCGTCATTAACAACCCTCTGTCAATCCAATGCTGGATCAAGTCTTCCTCATGTCGTGCCAGGCATGGGGGCGGTTTGACCATACTTCCCCACGTTGGCGAGCATGGGCTCATGAAGGGGAGCGGAACCCGTGAACCGGTTCAGACATCACTCGCCGGTGATGACCGATGGGTTAATAGCGAAGCGTTGCCAACCACTGCGCCACCATTTCACCCCACGTCACTTCACGCGCGTCTCAGGCCACGCCGGTTCGAACAGCGCAGCTACTTCACAGCGACCCAAGTGAAGTTTTTTTGTTAATAAACAACCACACACATCTACATTGCAGACAACAGGAAGGCTTGAAAGAGTCGCGGCCTCCGAGTGATAGCAGGGTTCAAGGAGAATCTTTGGACAGAAAACAAGAAACCTTGATAAGGAAAAATATACATCGGTCTCGATTAAGCGGAAGAAATGCGGGATGCAAACTTCGCACTGCTACAGAGTGTTAACTACCTCGCCTGGTATGCGAGAGGTCATGGATTCGATTCTGATCCTGACGCCTACTATATATTTAGAGTTTGCATGTCTCTCTCTCTCCCTGTGGTTGCGTCGATTTTTCTCTGGGTCCTCCGGTTTTTCCCTCCACGTGTGTTAGAGTATATGACTGCTATAAATGTCCACGTGAACATAAGCCACTTAGTTGAGGTGTCATTCGTGATGGCCAGGTTGCCTCTGAAAAAGAGCTCAGTGGGCCTTACCCGGTAAATGAAAAAAAAAGTGAGTGAATAATTAGTAATAGTTATGTAGTGACATCGGGGATGTCACTGTATGGTGCCGGCCCGGGAGGGCCGTCCCATACGATGTCCCTACATCGCGGACAGCACCGTGTGGGTGGCTGTGTGAGGCCGGTTCTAGCAGAGCATGGCATGCGATGCACCGTTATGGCGTACACCCCATAGGTGGGTGTAGTACCAGCCCTAGCGGGGCTTGGTGAACGCTGGAATAGCGCGGGCACCACGCATAGCGCTTAGTGCGGGCTCCCACCAGGGGGAGTGGGAGGGTGTCAGCCCAGGGGCAGGGTTGCCCCGGGCCATGGCACTCTGGTTGACCACGTAGACACGTGATCTGGAGTGTCCATAGAGAGGGCCCCAGGTGGGGGGGGGGGGCTAGGGGGCGATCACGTGTCCGGGGAGAGCTCTCGAGAGGGATCGAGAGGGAGCTAGAACGCTCGAGAAGGCGGGCGGGGCCAAGGGCGGAGCGGCCCCGACCCGGGGGGGATATAAGGCGGGTCCCTGAGAGGGACCGGGGTTCTTTGTTCGACAGCTGGAAGCCCCACGTCCTACAAGCTGGAAGCTCCACGTCTACCAGCTGGAAACTCTACGTCTACAAGCTGGAAGCTCTACGTCTACAATCTGGAAGCTCCACGTCTACAAGCTGGAAGCTCCACGTCTACAAGCTGGAAGCTCCACGTCTACCAGCTGGAAACTCTACGTCTACAAGCTGGAAGCTCCACGTCTACAATCTGGAAGCTCCACGTCTACAAGCTGGAAGCTCCACGTCTACAAGCTGGAAGCTCCACGTCTACAAGCTGGAAGCTCTACGTCTACAATCTGGAAGCTCCACGTCTACCAGCTGGAAGCTCCACGTCTACAAGCTGTAAGCTCCACGTCTACAAGCTGTAAGCTCCACGTCTACAAGCTGGAAGCTCCACATCTACAAGCTGGAAGCTCCACGTCTACAAGCTGTAAGCTCCACGTCTACAAGCTGGAAGCTCTACGTCCTACAAGCTGGAAGCTCCACGTCTACAAGCTGGAAGCTCCACGTCCTACAAGCTGGAAGCTCCACGTCTACAAGCTGGAAGCTCTACGTCCTACAAGCTGTAAGCTCCACGTCTACAAGCTGGAAGCTCTACGTCCTACAAGCTGTAAGCTCCACGTCTACAAGCTGTGAGCTCCACGTCTACAATCTGGAAGCTCCACGTCTACAAGCTGTAAGCTCCACGTGCACAAGCTGGAAGCTCCACGTCTACAATCTGGAAGCTCCACGTCTACAAGCTGGAAGCTCAACATCTACAAGCAGGAAGCTCCACGTCTACAAGCTGGAAGCTCCACGTCTACAAGCTGGAAGCTCCACGTCTACAAGCTGGAAGCTCCACGTCTGCAAGCTGGAAGCTCCACATCTACAAGCTGGAAGCTCCACGTCTACAAGCTGGAAGCTCCACGTCTACCAGCTGGAAGCTCAACATCTACAAGCTGGAAGCTCCAAGTCTACAAGCTGAAGCTCAACATCTACAAGCTGTAAGCTCCACGTGCACAAGCTGGAAGCTCCACGTCTACCAGCTGGAAGCTCCACATCTACAAGCTGTAAGCTCCACGTCTACAAGCTGGAAGCTCCACGTCTACAAGCTGGAAGCTCCACGTCTACAAGCTGGAAGTTCCACGTCTACAAGCTGGAAGCTCCACATCTACAAGCTGGAAGCTCAACACCTACAAGCTGGAAGCTCCACGTCTACAAGCTGTAAGCTCAACGTCCTACAAGCTGTAAGCTCCACGTCTACAAGCTGGAAGCTCAACACCTACAAGCTGTAAGCTCAACGTCCTACAAGCTGTAAGCTCAACGTCCTACAAGCTGGAAGCTCCACATCTACAAGCTGGAAGCTCAACATCTACAAGCTGGAAGCTCCACATCTACGAGCTGGAAGCTCCACATCTACAAGCTGGAAGCTCCATGTCTACAAGCTGTAAGCTCCACGTCTATAAGCTGTAAGCTCTACATCTACAAGCTGCAAGCTCCACGTCTACAAGCTAGAGGTCCTACGTCTACAAGCTGGAAGCTCCACGTCCTACGAGGCATCAACACGTGTTCGGGGACCCGAGTGAGGGCCCGACCCTACGTAGCTGTAACTCCTACGTATAGTGCAGTTAGCTGGGTGGTCACCACCCTAGGCTGTATCTGGTGAAGGGGCAGTTACCCCTTCGTGTTAACGTGTTGATGTTACAATAAAAGTGCTGCCTCTAAAGAACAACGTCTGCGACTCAGTTGGACTCACTGCAGTTGTATTAGCACTGCGTAGGTCTCCGCGGTTGTGCTGTGCAGCTGGTTGACGTGCGAGCGCGTCGGGCGTTGTACAGGTTTCTCGCCGCGATGAATCTCCGACGTTTCACTGAACGCGCTGCCTGCGACCGTGCGAGCCTCTTCTCCGATTACTGAATTCAGTTCCCGGGGTAAGAGAAACTCCCCCAAAGCTGCCGGAACATGTAGGTGAAACGTCGGACATCACGCCGAACAACGCGCAACAGTCAAACCCTTACATGGTGGTAACGGAGAGCTCAAAGGGTTTTAACACGTAGTAATACACTTTCGTGAGCAATGTCATCCATAGTAAAGTTGATTTTGGGTTATATCGCGTCAATATAAATGTCATTAAACTCGCCACCACCCGACATGGCCAATTAGTAAGGTTTATGTATATTACCAAAACATTTATATATTAGTTTGGTTAGTCACAGTTGATCAAATTACATTAAGTATTATATATCCGGTAAAGTCACGTAGAAAGGAAACAATAAAATAATAAAAATATAAAACAATACAATTCTCACGACGTTTCGACTGCAACACAAGCAATCATCATCAGGTGTGAAAACCACAGCAAGAACATTTGAAAAAAGTGGCGTTTTTTTAACATTAGCTACTTTTTTCAATTTTGCTTGCTGTGGTTTTCATACCTGATGATGATTGCTTGTGTTGCGGTCGAAACGTCGTGAGAATTTTGTTGTTGATATTTTTATTATTTTATTGTTTCCATTCTACGTGACTTTACCGAAAGAACCAAGAATATGAATCTCTGCAGTCACGAAAGCTTTAAATCAAAATGTATTATATAGCCATTGTAATTTATAGGACTACAATAACCCCCCCCCACACCCTCTAGGCATTGCACCTGATTGCCTCACAGTGACGACATCAAATGTACCCCCTCTATTTAAGACGGATACGGGAGGAGGATTTCTCAACAATTCTGGCTGTCGCCTGATGATGCTGGTTGTAATTACCGGTGAAACGTCACGGTACCCGAATTGTAAATGTTGTGGGTTTTACTCTCTAACACGCCGGTGTGCTGAACTAGTAACTAATTGGCAAGTTCTGTTTACGCGACGAACCTTACTGATCGGCTGTGTCGGGTGGTGGGCGGATTTAACGACACATACATATGCAATCTAACGCAAAAAATAACCCTCTAATAAGGATGAAGGGGCTTTTACTGAGCAGAAACCCGCAGCGGTGCCAAGTGCCACGGCCATTACCCACACAGGAAATAGCGGCGACGTCAAGCTTGTGCACAGCCTAAACCTTTTTCCACTCAGCAAACCGAATCAGATTTTGTCTTTGCCGGCAAAACAAACGTTCAGCTCAAATGAGAATGTTCTCATATCGAGCATAACGCTGCCCCTTTACTATAGCCGGATGAGTGAGCCGATTGAGACTCCGAGTCTCGTTTTCAAGGGAGACCCGGCTTACAGGGACAAAACAGCGCACAACGTCACATGGGGATGGTGCAACAGAAAAAAACTGGGTTTAAAATATTAAACTATAAAAATGACCTTATCGTGACAAAAAAAAATCAAGCGTATGAAATGATACTCGGTTGTAACATTTCCCCGCACCTCCGATTAGCACGGTTGGCTACGCACGGTGCGAAAGAAGTTTAACGTGCGTACATAAAACAGAACTTAAATTCCAGCGAAATACGCTTTAAAAGAGGGACAAGTTACGTTTCTAAGGCACTTGCGTTCACATTTATTTAAGCAATGAGTTCAATTGCCCATATAACGCTGACTGGGAGGATCCAGTTTCGTAGCTGTAGCCGAGACGCAACGCTATGATGGAACTACGGGCATCATGGTTCAAAGGGCAATTTCCAACTTAAGTCTTCACCCTCGGAACACAACACAAAGCACTTGGGATGGGCGTCTGTGTCGCGAGCGTTTAATTCTAGATTCAATCAAGTGGACAAAACTTGCCAGTAATTTTTTTGGAGGCTAAGATATGACGTTCAACTGTGCCAAAACGCTTGTGATAAATCAGTGAAGGCGAACCAAGCATATGTTTGTGTTTTTAATCAAACAGCCGTGAACATCGTTTAGAATTGCAGAGCTAGCGGTCATAATACGTGTGCCGGATCATTGAACCTGTTCACTTGTAGAGAAGGATCTCATTCTGTTTCATACGAGAGATGCGAGCCACTTCGTTTTGTATGTGAACTTTGACAAGAATGTCGACAGATAACAAACATTTTACATGTTTACCGTGGGTCATTCACTGCTTTGTTGATGTCTCTTCTCATAGAGACTGATATAACGCCACCATATTATCCAAAGGCACTTCATAGAAATTGTAAAAAGTGTACGCAAGGTGACAGCGGTTGAGATAGAGAGTGGGGTTATTAAAAGTGGTTGTGTAAGAGACACGCGCGCACAGAAACTAACAGATTCTTCAAACGATGGCGAACTGGGCTTGCAAACGAGTTCGCGGACCGTTTTTAAAGGGAAGCAGTGGCCATGCCA